CAGAGGGATACTGCCTTAATAACTTTCAGACGTACTCCCAATCAAGAAAACTGTATTTACTACAAGGAACTATGAAATTATGCTTTAGCGTCAATAAGGAGGGAAAAAAAGGCTTACCTATCACACATTGATAACTTTATTAAATATTACGGATGATATCAGCAAAAATGTAGATGATCAGATAGGAACAGCTCTGATTCTGCTAGACTTCTCTAAGGCCTTTGATATGGTACATCATGGTATTCTCTTGAGTAAGCTCAAATTTTATGGTCTCTCTGACAAGCCACTACGTTTCTTCGATTCGTACTTGCTCAATCGCACCCAGAAGGTGAAAACACGTAACGGATTTTCTTCGGCAAAGAGTGTGGCATCTGGCGTACCTCAAGGCTCTGTGTTGGGACCATTACTCTATTTAGTTTATACTTGCCTTCAGCACTGTAATATTCAAACGTATGCAGATGACACGCAGCTAACTCTGTCTTTTGATTCTTCGGACATGCATGAAGCATCATATAAATTGAACTTAGATCTAGTTAACATTGAAGAGTACCGCAAAAGACATTGTCTGAAGATCAATGCTTCAAAATGTTCTACTATGCTATTTGGCCCAAAACAATTAGTACAACGGTTAGATGGCACAATTGTTCCTAGTCTTAACGAAACCCATATTCCTATAGTTGACCATGCGAAGTATTTAGGGATCACCATGGATTCAGATTTGAGGTTTAAACAACATGTTACGCATTTATCTCGCTTAACATACATGCGTTCGAAGTTATTATACACCAATCGCCATATTCTGAATTTCAAGACTCGCAAAAAACTGGCTGAGACTCTGGTTCTATCGTTAATAAATTATTCAATTGCTGTTTACTTTCCTTGTCTTGATTACGTGACTAGATATCGAGTACAAGAAATTCAAAATAGCTGCTGTAGGTTCGTTTGTGGTCTGCGAAAGTTTAGCCATGTGTCTAAGAAGATCAATGAGCTTAGATGGTTGAGGGTTGACCAGCTTTTCACATATAACTTACTAATTTTAGTAGAACGAATAAAAATCAATAGGCTACCTACTTATCTACTAAAAAGGTTGGTACCACGTGGGGATCTCAATTACAGGAATCTGAGACATAACTCTGACTTCCATATACCTAGTTGTAGGAGCAACATTTTCCATCGTAGCTTCACCTACAACGCTGTCAAGGTGTACAATAGTCTTAATGACAATTACAAAAAGATGGGAATACTTGCTTTCAAGAGAGCCATTAAGAACCACCTTCTGGGGTCTGCTAGCCAAGCTGGCTGATACATTTATTTTTTTTTGTCTTTATATGTATTGTTTTTTTTTTGTTAGAGCGGGCTTTGTGGAATAGATGTACAACATATTAAGATTAATCTATTTAAGCTTAATTATTGTATCTATTATTTAGTCGATTGCTATTCATTGCTCTGTTTTTCCTTTTGTATGTGTTCCTGCGCTGTGAGGTTAAGTGGTAGAGTAGCCAGCTGGCTAAACTTCGCCTCGCAGTGTGGAGGGATTAATAAAGACATTATTATTATTATTATTATTATTATTATTATCATAAATTGAACATATTTGCAGCCAGCGTAAGTCATAAAGCGATTAGGTGATGAAACATCTCGTGAATTCCGCATTTCCTGTAATTTCGAGTCACTTGGGTATGACTTCTGTAATCTACGCTCCAAATGTACAGTTCAAATGAAACTATGCGTATTTGAGTAAACGCTTACAACTGTTTTCTGCATAACCATTTTGTCTAAAGAAAGTATGATTACAAATTTACATGAATCATCCCATAATTATGAGTCTTAAATACTGTTATAAATAATATCAATAGCATTTCCATTAGTAGAACATTTGGCAGGCTATTGTGTGATGTGCTCTAAATACTGCTTTCTCTTCAAATTGGGGACTTATTGCGTTTCCGGTGATATAGGCTCAATGCATTCAACCCGATTTTTACAGCCCTTACGGAACATTAAAAAAAATCATAAATGGAAACTATATGAAAATACGTAATTCGAATCAGCTTCATTCTATGCGTCACCTGTCGCATCTTTCCGAACTGAGAAACATATCACCAACACGGCTGTCTTAAATAATTATTAATGAAATTGGATTTCTCGTTCCAGCGGATCAACTCCGAAACTCAATCATATCAAAGTTTGTCTGATGCTATCCTTGTCACAAAGTAATTTCTGAACCTCTTAGATAGATTTGCCTCCAGTAATGCCATCTCTGAAGCAGATTTTACATCACATCGGTGCCAAACATTGATAACGAAAGCCTCATGATGTTTAGGCAACACGTAAAACGAGTTCATAACATGTCTATCAGCTAGCGCTTAGGTAACATCTCGTAAAAAAACCTACATAATGTCACAAAAAACCGATATAATGTCAAAAAAATCGACATAATGTTTTTTTTGACGTTATGCTGTTTTTTTGACATTATGTATGTTTTTCTACAAGATGTTAACTTAGCACTTAGTTGTACGTATTGCCTAAACGTCATGCGGCTTGTTATCAATCTGTGGCTCTGATGTGATGTAAAATCTGCTTCTGAGATAGCATTACTGGAGGTCTAAGCTGTAAGTTGTATGTCCTGATGATAATTACATTGGGTTCTTGTCTCAAATACACTTAATTGAGATTCAAAGCTAGAAATTAGTTGCGCATCCACTTTTTCTTATCCATTCTGGAAATTACGTATACAAATTTGCTGAATTTCAAAAATGAGGGAGATTACCAGCCATATACATGCTAACAATAATTACACACAACGCGGGCGCATTGATGATTTCCCATAATTCGTAATTTATAACTTTGAACATAACCTCTCCAGAAGCCACAACATAAAAATAACCCGTCGGGCACAGCCAACAGATGTACTTCATTGGCAGCATATTCAGTAATGATTTTCTCACAGTAACTATCACTAATTTTATACACATGCAGAAGAATACACATAATCATCCAGATGCGATCTTGCTATTCAACCTACTTTCTTCTCAGAGATAAAAACTACAGACAAGGACCATTTGGCCTCGCAAAACATATGCAACCAATAATGCGTGTAGCTTATTTGAGCGATTCCTCCGTAGATGGACGTTCACAACGATCCTGGTGAGCAAATGTGGAATGACTGTTTGCGCCCTAAAATCTACCTAGTTTGCAACATCTTATAGGTTTCCTTTGACGTTTTATAGGTTTTTACATGACACCCATGCGGTAATATATTAGATAAAAAACAAATTACAATGAAGCGTAATTCTAATTTGATGAATTAGCCTCATCAAGTCTTATTTTATCACTGATTAACTGTATCTCCTATCAGCATGATGATGATCCGCTCCCATCGAAAGGTTCACGCACTCTTGCGTTATTCTCATCAAGCTTGGCAAGCTTATCCAATTAACAAGTTTTGAAGTAATTTATCTTTATTTATTTATTTTATTTATTTATTGAAATCCACCACCAACAGTGTTAACCAATTACTGGTGGCAAAAAAACAATAGAAATAGTAAAAAAAACATATAAAAATACAACGAAATTTAAAAACTAAATCATTTCACTGCAAACTCTCTTAATATTCGAAATACTTGCATTAATAAGGTACTCAATATGAGGATTGAAGCTAAGTGACATGTCAAAAATCACACCCAGGTCCTTGCATTCTTGTACTCTCTGCAGAGAATGATTGCCAATTCTGTAGTCAAATGCAATAATATCTAGCTTTCTGGTGTAAGACATAACACTACATTTACTGTAGTTAATTGGAAGTCGATTTACAGCACACCATTTAACTATTTTGGCTAGGTCTTTTTGTGAGTGAGCACAGTCAGTGCTGCAGTCGACATTGGAAAAAATTTTCAGATCATCAGCATAGATTAAGTGGCTGCTGTCGATGTCGCTAACAATATCGTTTATGAACAGTATGAAAAGCAAAGGACCTAAGCAGGAGCCTTGAGGTACCCCTGAGGTTGGGAAGAATTCAATGGATTTGACACCCTCATATTCAACATATTGCTTTCTTCCTGATAGATATGACTTAAGAAAGGATAACAGCTTAGGGGAGAATCCAAAATAGCTCAGTTTCGTTAACAGAATACTGTGATCAAGTTTTTCAAATGCTTTACTAAAATCTGTATAAATTACATCCACCTGGCTATTAGCATCTAATGCAGAAGAGACTGACTGAGTAAAACAGGCTAGGTTAGTTATGGTTGATCTACCCTTCATAAAGCCATGCTGAGAAGTACTTATTTGGGAATGTGTATTGTGGTATAGGAAATGATGAAGCAAAGTTTCTAAGGCCTTGGAAAAGATACATACTAGGGTTATCGGTCTATAATTTTCAACCTGTAGTCTATCACCCTTCTTGAAAATGGGACGCACTTTTGATTCGCCCCAAATTTCAGGAAACGTGTCAGTCTTTAAACATAGGTTGAGATCTTTGTCAAGGGATGAGCTAAGACGTAGGCACAGTCACGCACTAAAAATGATGGGATTCCATCGGGTCCGGAGGTAAATTTATTTTTCATTTGCTTTAACACTGTAAAAACTTTTCTTCGGAAAAGCTCTGAAGTATTATGTTAGTATGCAAGTCCGAAATATTGATATCAGTTGCGTTCGAGGGCATAGTATATACAGATTGAAAAAATAGCGCAAAAGCATTAGCAATTTCATTGGGTTTGTCATACTGCTTACCATTATAGTTTTTGGCTGATTGTGGAATTTTTTCCCCTTTTATTACAGATAAATGACCAGAAATTGTTCGGATCCTGAGATAGGCTACTTTGGATATCTACTAGATAATAAGTCTTTGAACTCAGTGTATGTGATCAAATTTTTATCCTTTTTAAACTTTTTGTGTAGCAAATTTTTTCTTTTAATGTCTCTAATCATTTCACCGTTAAACCAAACTGGAAATTTGAGAGATCTGAGACTTATCCTAGGGACACACATATTAAAAATTTTACGAAGAATGTTAAAAAATGTTTCCAAAGCTACCTTTACATCTGTTAAATTGTCAAGAAATGTCCAATTAACCAAGCTTATTTGTTCATATAGTGCTACAAAATTGGCTTTTCTGAAATTATATGATTCTCTGGCGCATTTGGTACTCTTTTTAGAATGGAAGCTCATGTTGATTATCATGACAAGCGGAGGATGGTGAACATCCTCAGGTAGTAGGTCATCATAAGCCTTAACGACGCTACATTGTTTATTTGATAACACTAAATCTAATAGCCTATTATTTTCATTCCGAACATCATTGAGTTGAGAAAGATCGAAGAAACCCATAAATGACTGAATTGTTTTCTGCTTGTGAGAAGATTGGAGGTGATTTTCATTAACAAATTCGGGAAGATTAAAGTCACCTAGTATATAAATACTTTTGCGAAAGAGGTAATCAAGCGATTCTAGATGTTCAAAGAATCTTTCATAGCAGGAAGTACTCGTGTCAGGCGGTATGTATATCACAAAGAAATAAGTCACTTCATTTTTATATCTAAGTTTGATTCCAATTATGTCAATACTGGGAATATCGTCTCTGATAAAAGTCATATTTACCTCTGATGCAGCAAGTTGATTACTAATACCAATTAAGACACCACCTCCTCTAGAACACCCCATCGCAGAGAAATTTCTGTCCGCTCTAAATACAACATATTTGTCAGTAAATAATTCAGAACTAAGTACTGCAGACTGCAGCCAAGTTTCAGTACAACAGATGATATCATAGTCAGACATAGCGACATTTACAAAGAATTCTTTACACTTAGAGTTCATACCGCGTACGTTCTGGTAGTAAACAGAGATGCAACGATCAGAAAAGGTAGAAGTAGAAATTCTTACAAAATTTTGAGTATTTAATTGTTCGTAAGGGATTTCACCGGGAAAATCCGAACTAAGAAAAAAATAACCTAGCTTTAAACTCCTCAACTTTACATGCACTTTATATGCACATACTGACCCAGTATGACGAGATATTAAAGTCTGGTTATTAGGTATTCGTAGGAATTACAAAATGCAGCACTTTTGCATAAAGAAGATGTCAATCACGTGATTCATAATTACCTCTATACTTTGAAATGAAAAATGTATATTTTTACTGACATGTCATGATAGGTATACATTGAGTATAACATTGAGAAAAAAATGACATAAACTATTACTTTGATTAAGGAACACCGAAGACGAACGCCCATTGAGGCGGAGCGACGTGAAAGGAAGCGTGGTGACATTAGACATTTGCAAGTGTCAAATATAACATCCACTTCATTTTACCACACGCCAGCGCATGAACTCTCATTTGATTATTTGTAAAGGAACCCAGCAGCAAAGTGAATATTTAGAGGTTCACGCTAATTGAGGGCAAGGGCAGCGAGGAGGAGCGAAGCAAACTCTTCCGCTGGCTTCCGTTGCAAATAAGCAAATTACAGCATTCGATACGTGCAATGGACAAGTGTCACCGCAGATTTAATAACGTTGCTTTCTCTCAATGTCCGTGAGCGTCTAAGGTCCGTATCGTCAGTCGTCCCTACAATTGTAAGGCGCGTTTATGGCCTCCTTGATTGTCATACTGCTTTTTCTCCTTCAAAAATTTCTAGATTACACTTGTCCCGGGTCAGCGTCAGCGCTCGCCTATTGTGAAGATATGTTTTCTTTTTAAATTGTAGGAAATTTCAGGCTGATAAAATTTGATGCAAATAGATGTTTGTGACATAACCTCAAAATAGAGCGCTGACACGGAGAAGTAGAAAACTATGACAATCAAGGAGGCCATAAAGGTGCCTTACAATACGGGCCTAACAGCTGTAATTGCCAGAGACATTTGATATGAAAAGATAAGTCAGACCTAAGTACATTATTGTACCACACTGCATTATATTCCAAGCTACTAAAATGCATATTTTACTCATTTCTGCTTTTAGACAGTAAATGATGCAAGGATGAAACTTATTATCGTCCAAGAGTTTGTGCGGATATAATATTCGAAAATGCTATAAGGTTCTTAATCAATATCCAATAATGTGCAATAAGAATTTCGAAAGTGTTTCATACAGTTATCACATTAATCTTTGTTGCGTAAAGTTCCTAATCTATCTCACTAGAGAAGGTCGAAGAGCTGAATACAACGCAAGCAACACGCATCAGTCCTTAAAATATCTCAGGCACCATTTCAATTTTCTTCTGGCTGCTAAATGAAACCCCAAAATTAATAAACTGCCTTCAATTGTCTGACCAACGAAAGGCCAACCCAGTAAAAAGCTATTCAATGATTATTGGCAATCATAAGCGCTATCTAGGTCTCTAGATAAGACAACGAACGAAAGCTGGAGAAAAGTATCCTATCAGAGGTCTAAGGTCTGTCAAAGTACAACACAAAGAATGGGTCACTCCGAAAAAATGATTAGTACCTATCTATTGGAGCTGTAAATATATCTGTTTCACTGCTGTGATCTCTTGATGAATCAGCTTTGACGCCAGCTGAGATACCTTTGCAATTCCAATTGATAGCTTCTGTTCACTTTTTGCAGTGGTTAATTCTGGCAATAGACAGTACTTTGTACTGTTGTATTTTGAGAAACCACAGATCGTTGAGCAGAAGCTTACTAACGTTTCGGCCTCCTTGGTCGTTTCATTTGGCGGCAAGCCAAGCATCGAGATTGATTAGTGGGACACCCACAGGCAGTGGCGTAGCTAGAAGTCATGGGGCCCGGGGCAAACATTTTTTGGGGGCCCTCATGAGTATGTTTAAGAATAAAAAATATCATGTTATAATAAAAAAATTGTTTATTATCATAAAAACAAAAAGTAACACAAATTAAAATAATGAAATAACAAAAGTAACAAATTAAGCAATAATAAAATTAAAAATCCCTTTTTCTTGCTTTTCTATTTGCAAATTCGTTGATAATATCATTTATATCAAGGTTTTGGGCTTCTTCATTCTCTATAGAGAGTAAAGCAAGATCGCTTAATCTAATCCGGCCTGTAGTAGACCTAAGATAGTTTTTTTACAAGTTTAGTAGTTACAGGCAACGTAAAAAATAAAAGGAACATTAAGTAAACTTCACTTAAGTCGCTTTCAAGTACCCCATACTTACTTAAAATTATATTGAAATAATCCTTAATTGATAGATCATTCTTAAGGTCTCTTTTACAAACATTTAACAAATTGGTATACTGAAATATTAAATTATTTAAATCAAATATTTCAGGATATTTGTTATAAATGGCTGTACATTTATTTTTAATGGACGTTTCATCGCAAATTAATATAATTTTCGGAAGAAGTAAATCAAACGATTTATTAATTTTTTTCATGCTCCTAAATCTATTAGAAATCTGTGTCAGAACACGGTTCATAACAACATTAAAAACATTTATTTTAAATAAAATTTGAGTATTATTAAATCTGTAATCACTTAAGAGTTCGTCAAAGTGTTTTTTAACTTTAGGTTGACGTTTTTGCCTGAATTCCGGTTGAATATTTCATTTGTTAGCCAGTTCCGTAGCTTCAATCATTAAAATTTCCTAAGAAGATCTTAAGTCAGTAAGGTTCTTTTCTACTTGTTCTAAAACAGTCATAGATTCACTTAAATCAATATTTTTCTTTTGAAGGACCTTTGAGGCGAAGTTAACCTGGGTAAAGGTTTAATACAACATTGCTGAAATAAATACAAATTCAAAGCAACACATTTGTTTTTTAATGGAAGAAGCTTCTTCTCTTTCTTCTTTTTTATGAGACTGTAACTCTATTTCTGTTAAAGATTTAATAATATCAAGATAACGAAGTTTGACAGCACTAATAGACAATATGCTTCCTGACCAACGAGTTGGATTTAATGTTTTTAAAGTTGTTCTGGATTCACTGGTAAAAGAAGCTAAAAGATCCCATCTATCAATACTTAAACCAAAAAAAGAATATATATACTATGTGACATATAAATCCGAACACCCAGTTTAAATGGTTTTATTTTAATAAAAGTTGGTGAATGTATTTATCTTACTGTAAATAACAAGTGAAAAAATGTTCAGCCTTATCAGTTGGACATTCCGGTTTTTATACTGCTTTTTTTTAATTCACTAACGCTCTAAAAATGAATATTTCAGCCGCAGTAAAGAATCAACGTTGGCGGATTTTGGTTCTTGACATCCTTTCCGATCGGTTACGATGCCTAGAGTACGGAGACCTGTACGATTTCGTCAACTTAGTGAGTTTGATAGGGGCCGTATAGTGGGACTTCGGGAAGCTGGACATTCTTTTCGGGCAATTGCAGTTAGAGTGCAAAGAAGTGTAGACACTGTGGTTAGGTGTTGTCAGGCATAGCTTCGAGAAGGCCGTACGCAAAGAGCAAGGGGCACTGGGCGCCGCCGTAGAACAACAGACCGTGAAGATCGCCGCCTAAGATTATTGGCCTTAAGGGACCGTTTCTCCACTACCAGGTACATTGCAAATGAATGGTTTGCAGAACACGGAAGACCTATTGGCATGCGAAGTGTTTACCGACGAATGAGAAGTTTTGGCTTGTTTTCATACCGGCCACACTGGGTCCTCCCTTTAACTCGAGAACACCGACGTAATCGCCTTGAGTGATGCAGACAACGGGCACTCTGGGATCAGGAATGGAACAGTATTGTCTTTAGTGACGAGTCTCGATTTTGTTTAGGCATGCACGATGGTCGTGCCAGGGTTAGAAGGCGACGTGGTGAAAGGAGGAATCCAGAGTTTTTTGTTGAAAGACCTGTTCATCACACTGTTGGAGTTATGGTTTGGGGTGCTATAGCTTATGGTTCCAGGTCACCTTTAATCTTCATCAGAGGTAACATGAACGCGCAGCGTTATATCCACGAAGTTCTAGAACCCCATCTTTCACCCTATCTTGACACCCTGGCAGATCCAACTTTCCAACAAGATAATGCCCGACCACATGTTGCAAGAGTCACAATAGACTTCTTTCAACATAATGATGTCACATTGTTACCATGGCCACCAAGATCTCCCGACTTATCCCCAATTGAGCACGTGTGGGATATGATGGGTAGGAGATTGCTCAATTTGCAACGTCCTCCTCAGACTCTAGAAGCACTTCGAGAGAAGTTGGTGGTTGCCTGGAATGAGATACCACAGGAGGACATTGACCACCTGATCAGAAGCATGCCTAGGTGCGTTGAAGAATGCGTAGTACATCAGGGTACATCCACACATTATTAAAGGTCAAAGGGCTTTAAAGCAGTGCAATCATTTTGACATTTTTATCATTTACTTATTATGCTTCATTAAGTACTTATACAAAATTTTATTAAAATAAAACCATTCAAACTGGGTGTTCGGATTTATATGTCACTTAGTATATTTTGCATAGTTACTTGTTCTTTTTCAGCATGCTTTTTTAATTTTTCCTCTTTTTCTAATTTCATTTTTCGTTTCTGTGCTCCAGACTGATATTTCCGCTTATCTTCCATTTTTATTTTTTTTTGCGTTTTGGTCCGCAATCTGCTAATTCTGCAAAGAGAAGAATGCACAACCATTTTTAAATGCATTAAATAGTTAGATAGTTGTGT